TTATGGGACCCACCTGTCAAGGAAATCCAAAACATACCAATCACAATTGTCCAAGTCAGCTTAGCTAGCTTACTTTACCCTAGAAAACAGGAGCTGTTAGCCTCATAAAGAAATCCCTGACCTCCTCGCTCATCCTGCCGTTTCCATGTTGCCTCTTCTAACATTATATAAAACTCGCTCTTGCCCAAACCCCCTCAGGAAGCGCGCTCCTCCGCCTGTGAGGCAATGCACCCCACCCCCCAACCCATGGACTATATTCCCTTCCTTGCATAAAGGCCATCAAACTCGTTACTAAATTGTTTAATCATTTGACAGTAACCACAGGTCTTGATCTGATTAGTATGAGTATCTTTGGCCAGAAAACACAGGAAGCAACTTTTAGAGTACTCACTATAGCCCCTTACACAATAAATTACCAATAAATCACCATTGAATATATATGCCCCTTTAACTCCTATGGAGTGCTACATTTTCCCCTTCGTAGTAACAAGATGGGCTACATATAATTTTTCATATGCCAGCAATAAAGGTTTTAAGATCACAAATTAGTTCCCTTCTCACCCTCCATTTCATTTCTGCCTTGAAGACAGTTGGGAATATTCACAAATGTGCTACAAGGAACACAGAGGAAAGAACAACTTTGCAACAGAACACTTTCATTATAGGCTCACTCTGACCCTGAAAACTCTGCTTCATTTATACAAAATATTTTAAATATCATTCATTTATTGCCTTAAAAAAATAACAGGAGATGAGACCAAATACGGACTCTGCAAGTTACTGTTTTAATTTTTGTGTAGTTAGCAATAGTTTACTCCTTTACAAGGATTTGATGCAACTGATGAAAATATAGGCAACATTGGACGAAAGACATAGTTGAAGAAATCAAGGAAAGGGGAACAAGAGAGGGAGGTAGGGAGGGAGGGCGGGAGGGGGAGAGAGAGAGAGAGAGAGAGAGAGAGAGAGAGAGAGAGAGAGAGAGAGAGAGAAATATCACTATGAGAGAGACACATTCACTGGTTGCCACCTGCACACACTCCCTCTCCCCCTGGAGCGAACCCACAACCTAGATACCTACTCTTGACTGGGAATCGAACCAGTGACCCTTTGGTGGGTGGGCCAATGCTCTAACTGGCCAGTGCTCTAACTGCTGAGCAACACTGGCCAGGGCCAGAGTAGCATCTAGATTACTGCTACCCAGGATGATAAGTAGATTTCAATTTGCACTTCAACTCTTGATTCATTCACAGAAACTGTCCGAATAACTTGTGCTGGGAAGTTTGGTGGCTGTGTCCACATTTGTGATTAACACTGCATAATGGGGGATTGGCTGAGAGCAACAACCTATCCGGCACCTCTGATTTGTAGGAATAGAGGTCTTGCATGCAGGTCTTTATAGCTTCCCAAAGTGACATTTCTCATTATAGGGTGCTGAGAATTATTCTGTGTGGTAGAGAGTACGAGGTCATTGCCATTGGCCAAAACTTCAGGGTAGACACTTTGAGATATTGATTCATTCATGTGCTTTGAGGAGGAAGGTAGTTTGAGGTTCTATTATGAAAATTGGCCCCCATCACCTTTTTATAAAGACTGGCAGAGGAAGTACATATGGGCAGGGCTAAACACTTTTGGGTAAACTCCAACAGACAGCCTATTAGGTGATTAAAGACCAGAAAAGTCACCCCCTGGCAGTGGGCAAGGAGACACCTGATTGGTGATGTTGCTCTTATATCAATCAGAGGCCAAGCAGATATACAGTCCTTAGTTCATCCTAACTTGATGCCTGTGTTGGTGGCCAGAGATGTTTCATGTCTGAGGCACATATAAAAGACCAAAAAGCCCAACTATATTTTTCTAGCTGCAAAGATTTTAGCTTAGAAAAATAAGCATTGTGTACCAAGACCATGAAAAATTTCAATGTAACATTCAAGAAGCAGTGTAAATATTTAAACATCTACAAGGAAATATCAGAAAACTCAGTGTGAGTCTTGCTTTTACTACATGGAAGTCATAATTTATTGGTCTTCATTCACAGGATGAGACACATAGACAGGCACACAAGCATCCAATTTAAGTAACTGCCCTTTAAGTCCCCTCTGTAAGAATATAACACTGGCAAAATTACACTCATTCAGTTTGTCTAATTTTTGTTTTCAAGCAATAGTGATTAACTTTCACTGAAGTAAAAAAAAACATTAGCCTGTAAAAAAATAAACCAAAGTTCATAATGGTTATGGCTGTCAATTAACTTACAAAATTTGATGAGCTGTTTGAATATCCTAGTTTCATAAGATTTTTGCATCTTAAAATAAAGCATAAAATATCAGGATGAAGACAAAAATATTTCAAATCCTTGTTTATAATAGATCCTGAAAGTGTTTTAAATGTTCTTTCTGTTTAGGAATGAGAATAAAATGTAATGTACCTCAAGATACTTCATTCCCAACAGTGTTAGGTGTCTTAGAAATCCAGTTATGATTATGATTAGCCAACTGAGTTATATTAAACAATCCAATATTGATGGGCTATGAGAAATGCAACCCTTATATTATTAAGAATGTTTTAATCCTAAAATCAATTATTATTACTTTCCAGCTAGATCTTTTGGAACCATATGATACATCCAAAGCTACATAAATTCCAATTTTCCATCAGAAATCTGTAACTTAACATTATTATTAAGAGCAACCTGTGAGTACTTATCAAGTGCAAGGACTAAGCATTAGGTACTAGTGAGTGGAATGCACATTGATATGGGCAGTATACATGCATTTTAGTTAAAGGAGTTTTTCAAACAGCCCCAATGTCCTAAACTAGAGGATGTTGTAGAAAGTGAAGGCCTGCAGGACCCAGTGGGGACAAAGGAGGGGAAAAGTGGCTTCCTCCCCAACAGCCTTTGTGGGAATCAACTCACTGGTCCCAAGAAGAAGGTGCTGCAACCATATAGTCTTTTCTTGTAAGGGTTTCTCAATCTTGTTACTTAATACTAATAGTTAAATGTTTACTCAAGAATGGGATATGTAAAGGGGATAAAATCTGAGTACAAACTTTATATTAAAATTTGAAGCAAGATTTTTTTTCTATACGGCTTAAACAGAAAAATAAAATGAAATTCTAATTAGGCAAATCAGATAAAGTAGATAAGGGAGGGTAAAATTAATCAGTTATGGTAATAATGATCTTGAGATTTAATTAGAAATAAGATCATAGGTTTGATTATTCTAGTCTATAATTAGCCATCTTAATAAGAAGATAAATGAACTTATTGTAATAGTAAATTCAGAATATAGAGCAAATAATATATTATAAGCATATAATATGTGATAAAAATTATATATTATATATATTAAACTGATCTCTCATTTAACCAGTATTCTATAAATTTATTAAATGGTAATCTTTAGAGAAACATTAGTTAGGCCTTTAACTGGTCCTTTCTTCCTCCTTATTAGTTGTGTTAATGGAAATAACCCCACATAAGAATAATAATAAAGGGAAACAAAGATTTATGAAATTTGTAAATTGATAAGTTACACTGGTGGTAGCAATATGGAGAGAAACCTTCATAAATATAGAGCTTTGAACAACCAACAGGTTGTAGTCACCATAGGGAAAACAGTTTTTTTTTGTTTGTTTGTTTGTTTTGGGAAAACAGTTTTAAAAGAGAAGACACTTGGGTCAAACTTCACTTCCACAAGTAGTATAAAAGTTAATTAAAAGCAAACTTGTTGCATTCTTTCAATATAATACTGGTGTGTCCAACCTGAGAACTCTTCAAGGTAAACTGTGCACACCTAAGTAGCTTGCACCCAACAGTTAAGACTGAACCTCATCATTGGTACCCGGTTCAAGGACGAACAGATAATGAGACAGGTAATGAGAAAACTCACTACACCTACAGCTAGGAGGTTTTTCTCAGAATGACATCTGGCTTATTTATTTATACATGTGAACAATAAAAGTAATAATGCCAATTTACCAAGTGTCAGCATCAACTGTCTCCAATATACTAGATTCTAGGTTGCTGTTTCTGATACTGGGAAACTAAGAAGGAATACGCGGTCTCATACCCAAAAGCATCTGCACAGTGAAAGTAGCTCCTCAGACTTGGTGCTATTGTTATCTGGGGCTGGAGAACACTTTTCTGTAGGGGCTGTCCTGTGCACTGTAGGATGTTTAGCAGCATCCCTGGGCCCCACCTACCGATTAGAAATCACGGAACTCCTAGCCCCCTGAAGTTCCACCAACTTAAAATGTCTCTAAATGTTCTTTGGAGACAAAATTGCCCTTGATGAGAACCACTAGGTTTAAAATAGAATCGGTTTGCACATGAGGCAAAAATATTTTATCACCATATCTATCTTAACCTAATGATAGATAGTTTAAATGTAGAAAGTGAAGGCCTGCACTTTCACTTAGTTTAAAGAGAGTAGAATCATTTTTTATCTCTCTAATTATTCTGAACATATTGGGGTAATTATTATAAACCTCTTTAAATTGTTTATTATATATCAATTTCATTACAATTAAAAGGTGAAGGATCACATTTGATTAAAACTCTACCACTTCTATTCTAGAAAATTAGTGAGTGGTGCTAAATAATTGTAATAGATACTAGTTTTAAAAGTGCAGGATTTTTAAAAATCTTATAAAAGATTTCCATATTCAAGATAAAATGTTTTGATTTATTTTAACGTGTCACAGCCAGATATATTTCCAAAAACATAAAAAATGTACAAAGTAACATCATATTTTAAATGGTTTCACAATTTACTGTAGTAGATTTCGGTGCTATAGGTTTAGAAAATTCCTGTTTGTGATAATTGGGGATCGAAATTCAAAAGCAACATCAGTTCTCACTACCTCTTGTTTTCTTACAGTAAATGAAGCATACACATGCCCACATGCATTTACAACTCTAAAACTTTAAAAGGCATCTGGAATGAGTAAAAAGAATGACTCACGTGTTTTCTGTTTGTGTGATCTCATATTTAATTTACCTTCCTGAGCAGTAGATCAATAGCCATGTGCCGAGAAACTGCTTTTGAAGAGTATCGTGGAGTATGAAAAACATGGAGAAATCAATTTCTTTTTCCTGTCTCAGGAGATTCGGTGCTTTTCGTAATGCTCATGGTAAACAGTAATCTCACTTTTTATCTGCATTCTCTAAACTTGGAACATTGGAAGTCAATAGTAACATATTCAAAATGATCGAAACTACTTTATCCGTCATCATTACCACTGTTACTAATAAGTTATTAGGTTCCTATATGTGGAATGCTGAAATGAGCATTGTATGAAGCAAGTTACAAGGATACAAATCCTGTGGACATTCACTACTTAAAACTTGTACAATAACTGTTTTCCATCTATTTTATAGAGATTTCCACCAAGCTATTTAACAATTAACTCATTTTTAGCACTTTCTATGTGATATGTAATGTGTGGTGTCTTTGGATTTGAAGTCAAGTTATTGACAGTGCTTCACATTTGTCACTAAGGTTTTGTCTTTCTATTCACCTGGAAGAACCAATAAAAGATGAATCACGCCACATTGGGCCACACATCTGACAATTTCTTTTGTTGTTATAAAAAAAGACCAAACATACAAGCACATCAGCCCATTGTCAGGAATTTACTTTATCCTGATATCAAAATCTTATTACCTTGAGAAATTTTCCATTTCATAGTTCTTTAATACCATGATTGATCTACTTTAAAACAATATGAAACAGTCATGGATAATGCTTTTATAATTATAATTACAGGAAATTTACTCTATCAGTGTAGTGTTTATTCATGATTCCTTTAAAAAGAATATTATAAGATGCTTATTTGAAGTTTTTAATAAAACATATTTTGAGATAATGGGTAAATTGTACAGACTGCCACTTATAAATTCTAAGATTAAAATGTATTAATGCATTTGAGACTAATAAGAATACTATTTAAAATGTAATATATACATATATTTATAGTTAAATCTGAAAAGTACTTAGAAAATTAGAAAACACTTTTCTTTCTTCTTTTTGTTAATCCTTACCTGAGGATATTTTTCCACTGATCTGTTAGAGTGGAAGAGAAGGAAAGACAGAGACAAACGTCGATGTGAGAGAAACACATCAATTGGCTGCCTCCTGCACGCACCCCGACCAGGGACTAGGCTAGGGCCAGGGCCAGGGAGGAGCCTGCAACCAAGGCACGTGCCCCTGACTGGAATTGAACCTGGGACCCTTTGGTTACAGGCCGACACTCTATCCACTGAGTCAAACTGGCCAGGGCAGAAAACACTTTTCTAAGTAATTATTGGGTTATAGAAAAATATGAAAACTATAATTATGATTATTTTGAAAATTTATAATAGTGAGGAAAATTAACAGCCACAGATGTTTTCATTATTAACTAAGACTCAAAATAAATGAGCTTATTAGTCAATTCAAGAGTTATTAAAAGAATAGCAACACAAGTTGAACAACTGGAAGGAGTGTTACAGGATTTCAGGGCAGGAGGAATAGGGAAACTGAGACAGGAAAGTTAAAACAAGGCCAAACAATGTGGGCAGTTTGCAGCCAGCTTGTAACTAACAAGCCATTATCTTCCCCAGCCAAGGACACAAGAGCAAATGGTTAAAAACCTCCCTAATGAGAGAAAGCAGAAAAGAAGGGGAAAAGAGATAAGGGAAAAGGGCCATTTTACTCCCTAAGCCAGTGGTTCTCAACCTTGGCTGCACATTAGAATCACCTGGGAATCTTTTTAAAATCCTGATTTCTGGGCCTCATCCTCCGGAAATTCTGTTTCTTTGTCACTAATGTTGTGGCCCCACCCCATCACAAAGAGAATTTCTGGAGGATGAGGCTCAGAAATCAGGATTGTAAAAAGATTCCCAGGTGATTCTAATGTGCAGCCAAGGTTGAGAACCACTGCCCTAAGCCGAGAAGCCAGCAGTCTCAAGACTTGGCAAGATCAAGTTGCCAGGTGCTTCTCGTGAATTCTGGAGAGAGAGAGAGAGAGAGAGAGAGAGAGAGAGAGAGAGAGAGAGAGAGAGAGAGGGAGGGAGGGAGGGAGGGAGGGAGGGAGGGAGGGAGGGAGGGAGGGAGGGAGGGAGAGAGAGAGAGAGAGAGAGAGATTTTAAAAATTACTGTGTACCAAAAAATTCAGCAGAGGAATTTTGAAACCTATAGATAGGAGGGTATATAATGCCTTGGACCCCACCCAACCTGCTCTTCAGATGAGCTGAGAGCCCATCTGCACTTCATAAGCCAGATACAGTGGGGCCTTGACTTACGGGTGTCCCGACTAACGAGTTTTTTGAGATACCAGCTGTCTCAGCCGATTTTTTGCATTGAGTTGATAGAGTAATTTGAGGTAAGGAGCTCCTTAACGAGCTCGGTCTCGGAACAAATTAAACTTGTAAGTCAAGCCCCCACTGTATATAGGTTTGCTTATTTTGATTTTTCAATAAAGGTGCATGCTTTAATTGCTTTAATAAATTGGCTTTTCACAACAGAGTCAAGGTCTCTGGTATAAATTCATTTATATGAGAAGACAAGGATCAATGTTGGGTACAGCCCTCTCCACTGACTCTGGGCTGTCCTGTCTGGTAATACCTCTCTGCGGTTGGTGAGAGGTGCCTCTAACAGGAGGACTTAATAAATGTAAATAAGATAGATAAATCAGAAATAGAAAGACAAGAAATGAAATTAATCCAAGAACACGTTCTTTGAAAATACAACAAAAAATAGCAAGACTTCTGGCAAGTCTAATGGAAAATGAGAAAAAAATTAATGTATTCATTACCAAATATATAGGGAACATAGCAACACATATTTTATGGGAAATATTCTATAAAGCTCATGAGAATACTGGAAAATATGAATGAATTCAATGATTTTCTTAGAAATTATAAGGAGTCTAAATATATTTTAAAAGAAGTATAAGCCCAGCCAGGTGTAGCTCAGCTGTTGAGCATCGACCTTGGAACCAAGAGGTGATGGGTTCCATTCCCAGTCAGGGCACATGCCCGGGTTGCGGGCTCGATCCCCAGTGGGGGGCTTGCAGCAGGCAGCCAATCAATGATTCTCTCTCATCATTGATGCTCCTATCTCCCTTCCTCTCTGAAATCAATACAAATATATTTAAAAAAAGAATAAATTCTGAAATGACTAAAAGTGAGAAAAAATGGAAAATTTTCAGAGAACTGTTTGCCCCAAATATGCAAGGTCCAGATCATTTACTGGTAAAGTTTTTATTTCTTATGCTTTTAAAATATTTCTCTATATAGAAAATATTGGAACTATTTTATCCAATTTTCAAGATGGTAATGTAATGATTTTTAAAAATCATCAAGAATTAGCACATGAAAAGGAACCCATGTGCTATTCTTCTTATAAAATTAGATCTAAAAATCCAAGGGAAAACAATAGCAAAATAAGTAAAGTAGCATGTTAAACAGCTTCAAAATGAGTACTTCTAAGGGTTGGATAAATGTAAAGAAATTTATTCGTTTAATGCACCAAATGATTAAAAACCCAATGATCATACTAATACATACTGAAGAGGCAGCTGAAAAAAATTCAACATCAACTACTGATAGAAAGAACTTTTAGTAAACTAGGAATAAAACATACTTTTATCTCAAGACACATCATATTGACAGTGACTCACCAGATCCTGTGGAAGATCAGCATTCTCATTAGAGTAAGGAAGGCAACAAGGCTCCATACTATTCTCACCATTATGATGTACCTGTTCTGATAGGGCCACTACAAGGAGACAAAACAACAACAGCATCAACAGTTAGGTATTACTGTTCAAAAGTAGGAGATACATTTAAAATGATGTGTAGATGACATGAAATATAGGATTGCTTACCAGGAAAATGCAAGAGGATAATCATATCAAATTGAAAGGGAAAATGAATAACTGACAAAGAATGTCTGTACACACACACACACACACACACACACACACTGGTGCAAAAAAATTGAGGACAAACACTTTGACAGAAAAGGACAAAGCATTAAATAAGCAATTTACAAACAAAATACAAATGACCATTTAACATATAAAATGTTCAGCTTTACATGAAACAAAAAAATTGCAAATCAAAGCAGTATTTATACACTGCTGTACCATTTTATTTGCCAAAAGAGCTTTAAGGACACGGGTAAATGAACTTACACATAGTGCAAAAAAATATGTACACAGACATAAAACCTTTGAAAAGAATTTTACATTTTTGCATATCATTTGATGCAGGACAATGAAAAATAAATACACACATAGTGCAAGAGAGATATGTACACAGACATAACAGTTCTGAAAAGAATCTTACATTTTTTGTATATCATTTGCCTCCAAAACTTAAATTTTAAGAATTTATACCAAAGGTGTTATTACAAGTGAGCAAAAAATTGTTAGCACCCAGAATATTTATTATAGCATTTTTATTATAGGAAAATGGAAAATAAGAAATTAGAATTGCCCTAGCCAGTTTGGCTCGGTGGATAGAGCATCGGCCTGCGGACTGAAAGGTCCCAGGTTCGATTCCGGTCAAGGGCATGTACCTGGGTTGTGGGCACATCCCAAGTAGGAGATGTGCAGGAGGCAGCTGATCGATGTTTCTCTCTCATCGGTGTTTCTAACTATCTCTCTCCCTTCCTCTCTGTAAAAAAATCAATAAAATATATTTTTAAAAAAAGAAATTAGAATAAAAAACAAATGATTCATTACCACTATATTATAGAGGAATAGTTAATGATGTGGAAATATATCCAAAATACACTAAGTTCAAGCAAGAAGGGGACAAAGCTTCACAATAGTATAACCTCAAGTTTGTTAATGAGACTAATAGAAACAATACACGTTTAAGGTGTACACTAAGTTGATTTGATACATTTATATATTGCAATATGCTTATCACCATCGTGTTAGCTAACACCTTTACCACATAACATAATTATAATTTCTTTTTTGTGGTCAGAACAATTAAGATGTAGTCTCTTAGCAACCTTGAAATTTATAGTACAGTATTTTTGTCCATACTGTGCTGTGCCTTAGATCTCCTAGACTTATTTATTGGTTTCAAGTTTCTACTCTTAAACACGGCTCCAATTCCTAGTTTTGTTTTTAAAAAGAAATCTATTTGTATTCACACACACACACACACACACACACACACACACACACACACACAGGAAGACCCAAGGCTAAGAAAGATATGTTCCAAATATTTGGACATTAACAATGGTCATTGATGCTGGTGGAATTACAAGTGACTTCTACTTTTGTCTTTTGGCTTCTCTGTTATTTTCTATAAAGAACTTAAATTGCTTTTGTTTTTACCTTTAAAAAATGATGCAACAAACATTGGGAAGTCATAATTCAATAGGGAAGAGATTTTCTTCTCATTTCAAATGAATGGCTTAGACTACGATTCAGCATTTTACTGTCTTCAACCTTAGTCACATAGAGGATTAAGCAAAAGAAAAAGAGGTATTTGATACTTTTATGACATTTCAGGCTAAAGGAAAGCTGAATTGGATTTCTGTCTCTAACCTGACTTTTGTTTTTTGATGCCAGTTATCAGCTTGTTGCAATCTCTATCTATTGACTTTTCTTTCCCATGATGACTTTATCTTATCTAACATTTGCCAAGATAACTTGATCTAGTCTGACTTTGTTTGCAAGGGTTAGCTATGTGAGCTTTTCCTTCTAGGAAATTTTCATTTTAGTGACATGAAAATTCACTAAATAGTGACACTTCTAGAATGGGGGGGCTAACTTTTGGCTGCCTCTCCCTCTAGTCTAACTTCGCCTGACTCTGAGCCCTTGCAACCAAAGTGGAGGAAAGGCAAACAAGTTTCTACAGGTGGAGTTAGCAAACACAAATGGGTCAGATGATAACATACCACCCTAATTAGGAGGGGGAAATGGTGTGATTCTCAAAGTGTTGAAGAAGTGTCATTGTTTGCATTTTCTCATTGTTGCTTTAAAAATCCAAACTTTCTATTTAACATCCGGGTCACCCAACCTAATTTTCCCACTCATGGTTTTCAAGCCACAAGGTCGAGTTTGGGGGGCAAATGCATGAAGAGGCAGCATGGAAGAGAGGACAGCAGCCCTGACATGGACCCTCTGTGGGGCTTCTACTGGCCTCTAAGAGTGCCCCCCAGGGAAGGAGTCTCGTCCATTCTTTATCTTACTCAGAGCATCTCTGAGGTTTTGCTGCAGTCTCAGCTTTTACACCATGATGACCTGAGATGCAGTGTGGCTCAGTGTGGCGGAGAGAGGGTTCAAGTGACACCTATTCACTCCTCCCATTGCCACCAATGCCTTGAACAGGAGCCTTCATTTCCTTGCTGTAAGGTAATTAGAACAACTGCACCAGTGAGGTGCTCTTTGGAGGATTAAAGAAAGAACCCAGCAGACCTAGTTTGTGGTGCGCAGCTCTTAATGACTGCTCTATGGCATCACTGACCACTGTGCTCACCAGCCACATGTGGCTACTTAATTTAATCAAGAATTCCTTTCACAGCAGCACCAGCCCCATTTCAAGTGCTCAACAGTCACCCATGTCTACTGGCTACCACTCTGTGTGGTGCAGCTAGGAGCATTTCCATCATCACAGGGTGTTCCATTGGACAGCGCTGCGCTATGTCATCAGCTGTGATTTTGCACAGCTGCCACACCCTCGGGCTGACCAAAATCATCCCCTTTGAATTGGAGGCTGGGCCAGGATGTGTACCTGCAGAAGTGTGAGTCAGGTAAGGCCCTTCTTGCAAGGCCTTTGTCTCCAGAGGTAGAAAGGAGTGATATTAGCTTTCCAAATTAAGATAGCTTATCTGTCAGCCAGATAGATACTTTAGGCCTGAAAAGATGGGAAGTTCATACCTGGAAAAAACCTCCAGAGAGGACTCAATTCTTTCCATCCTGCACTTAACCAGACAACAAAAGGACAAGGGGCGAGAGGCGGGGGGCGGGGGGGGGGGGCGGCTAGGGCAGGAGAATTCTGATTTTGAGTCAGCAGGGGAAACATTCTTTCAAGCTAGAGTTTGCAAGGCACAACTAACTTGTTTTCCAAACAGGTTTTTGTAAATAACTGACAGGAGATGGGCTGCTTCTATCAAAGTATTAACCCAAGTGATGGGGGTTAATTATTAAACCTTCTAGCTGGTGGCTTGCTTGTTTGTCTGCTATTCTAATCTGGGTCATAGAATGGCTAAGGCAGCTTTAAGTGGAGGGCAGGGTTTGTTTTATATTTTCCTTTCTCTGTTTGCGCTTAGCTTTCCACCATGAAACTGTGTTGTGGACTCTTTCTCCTGGTGACTACTATTCATGTTCAACTCTGGGAATCAGGTATGTCACCTTGAAACTTAAAAATAGATTGAGTTCTCCGTTGTCTGATTGGCAAGTCTTTGACTTAAAGAACTAGTTATTTTTCTAAATTTGCAACTGAATGAAGGCTTGAAAGTTAAGCCTCTGTTCTATTAATTTGGATAAAACTATTAAAACATCTATGAACTGAATTTAACCTTTTGGGAATATTTGCAGCCAAGTATTTGTAGCTCTGTTTTCTGGTCACTCCAGTTGCATTAAATATTATAATTTTGCAGGCTCTGTTTGGCACATTTTGCCATCACATGCTGCTCTTTCAAGTGCTCAGTAGCCACCTATGTCTGCCATATTGGACAGCACAGATACAGAACGTTCCATCATTCCAGATAGTTTCATTGGATGGCACTGTTCTATATCATTAGCTTTAATTTTATACAACTGCCAGACCTTAGCATTGACCAAAACCATTCCCTCTGCAAGAAAATGCTTTTACAGTGAACTTAGTATCAGGCCAGCTTGGGAGATAAAACAGTTAGTGGAGCATCTATGTGTTCATTTCTAAAACTTAGTTTCTAATAACACTGTGCTTTCTTTAGTAATGGGCCCGTCTTTAAGCTTGAATAAATTATTCCAAAGACCTCACTCTGATGTTTTATTAAATAATGGATTCAAATGGAAATTATTAATAAAATGGTTTTGCTTAAAGTATTTATGGTAGATATCCAAACTGATGGATAAATATATGCAACTAGTATGTGTTGCTGGATTTGTGAAGCCACATGTGAGATATAAAGATGTGTTCCTTTCAATTTCACACATTCATTGAGCACCTATTATGTGTCAAGTATATGCACAGCAGGCAGCTAAACTACTATGAACATTCCTGTCGCAAATAGTCCCAAAAGGTTAAATGTAGTTCCGGTATGCTTTCTTTTCCTGGGAGATTTACCAGGAGTGAAATTGCATATTTAGCTTTAGTAACTCTTTCCTTATCATCTTGTAAATTGTATATTTACATTCCTTTTATGCATGGAGACTATCTCTTCGAAATGTTTTGAATGCTCTAGCTTTCAATCCTTTAAAACTTACCCAAGATAAGTAGTTCCATTGGCAGGATACTTAATCTAGAACTATGTCAGTCCTGTTTTAATCTAAATCATTTGATGCTTTGGTTTTGTGAAGAAAAGTCAACTCGTACCCAACACCAGTTGGTTTACACTCTTGGAATTAAGAGGAAGCAATGAAAAGACAGAAGATCAAGGAAAATTATCCCAAACATCTGAAAAACAACTTAATCTCAGGCTCCAAGTAGATCTGGCTAGCATCTTCATCTACATCTGCTTCACTGAGCATGTCATTTTCATATTCATTTGAGCAGGCTTATCTCCATCTCAGCATTCTGTTAATAAGCCTTTCCTGTGTAAAT